AAACCGTTTATATTTTTCTTCTGGCTGTCTTTTATGTTTTATACATATTTATTGCTTTTTATTGTCCATTGTACAATTATTTTTATTGTCCATATTTAGGAGCTTTTAAAATTTTATAGATATGGGGCTGGAGAAATGGCTCAGCGGTTAAGAGCATTAACTGCTGTTGCAGAGGACCCAGGTTTGACTCCCACCACCCACATGGTGGCTACAAACCGTCCTTAACTCCAGTTCCAGGGGAATCCGAAGCCCTCTTCTGACCTCCACAGCATTGCATGACACGAGTGCCCTCACATACATGCAGGCAATACACTCATACACATAAAGTAAAAATAATAAAATGTTTTTAAAAATTTATAGATATTAGTACTTTGTCTTTATATATTGCTGTTTTTCTGGCTTGCATTTGACTTTTGATTCCAAGTTTTTTTGTTTGTTTTTGTTTTTTTGGTCTTTTTGAAGTGGGGTCTCCCTGTAGCCCCAGCTGTCCTGGAACTCACTATGTAGACCAGGCTCGCCTTGAACTCACAGAGATCCGCCTGCTTCTGCCTCTCAAGTGCTGGGACTACAGGTATGTGCCACCACGCCCAGTTTGTTTGTTTTTTTTTTCATGTAATTGAGTTTCTCCTTTCTTTTTTATTGCTTGTAGATTGTGAACATGTTTTTCCATGTTCAGGTTATAAAGGAATTCAGCCACATTTTCTTGTATTATATGTATAACCTCATGCTTTATATTTAGATCTCTGATCTACTTGATGTTTATTCTAATGTAGTGTGACATGTGGGTCCAATTTTATCTTTTTCCAAATAGCTATTTCGGGTTTCCCATTGCTTACTCCTACTGATTTGGTATTTGAGTTTATTTCTGAATCCTCTGTTCTGTTCCACTGATCTTTTTGTTAGCCATACTTAGCATTTAAATCTCTAAGTTCCTAAGTATTTTGTTGCTGTAGTTTTTATAAGAATTAAAAAATAAAAATTACTGAGTAGTCTCATCTGATTCATCATGCCACTATCACCCCCACCAAAATGGAAGGATTGTGTGATGTGTTTTATTGTATGAAATAGGTCTTCCTTGGTTCTATATTAATGAAAGGAATGTTGGACCAGGAGTTGGGGAGCAAATTCAACTTTCAGTATGCTTTTAGGCAACTCACCTGCTTCCTCTGGTTCTTTTTCTCAACAGTTAGCAAAACAGAAGGGGTTTAGCTACACTGTCTTCCTGACTCAACAGTTAGCAAAACAGAAGGGGCTTAGCTACACTGTCTTCCTGACTCAATGCAGATCTAGTAATGCATTACTAGTAAGTGATAAGAAGTTCAGTTTGCCTTTTATTCCCATGGCCTTGTTAATTGTATTTTTTTTTTGTTAATTGCATTTTTAAAATATTTTTTTATTTTAGTTTATGTGTATGAGTGTATTGCCTGCATGTATGTAAGTGCACCTGTGTCATGTAATGCCCATGGAGGTCAGAAGAGGATGTCGGATCCCCTGGAACTGGAGTTACAGGTAGTTGTTAGCCACCATGTGGCTGCTGGGAATTGAACCCCAGTCCTCTGCAAGAGCAGCCAGTGCTCTTAAATGCTGAACCATCTTTCCAGCCCAGTTATTGTGTTTTTTATTACACTTATTTATTTGTGGGTGTACTTGTCAGAGGACGACTTGTGTGGTTACTGGTTCTCTCTCTCCACCATGTGCAGCTCGGAAACTGAACTTGGGTCTTCAGGCTTGACAGTAAGCACTTTTACTAATGGAGCCATGTCACTGGCCCAGACCTTGTTCTTTTACTATACCTATGAAAAAACCTCTCTCTTTAAGATCCCTTTAATCATTTCTCTGGGTTTCCCACGCCCCAGCACCCCACCCCCGGCATTTTCTTCTTTCTTTCTTTCTTTCTTTCTTTCTTTCTTTCTTTCTTTCTTTCTTTCTCTCTCTCTCTCTCTCTTTTTTTGGGGGGGCGGTCTTTTCTTCCTTTCTTTTTGAGACAAAGTTGTACTATGCAGTGCAGG